CAAAAGATTTATTTTAATTCACATAACAGAGGCGGATTTCTGAAACCAAACAAAACCTCAGCTCTTTTGGCTATCCTGCGCAGGGCTCAGTTAGCAGTGACCATTTATGATTCAAAACAATTTTTGTTTTTTGCCTTAATTTTTTGCTGTCTCTTGTAAGAATCAAAATAGAGAAGAGTGTGTATTAAACAGCTTTCAAAAGCTGGGGATGAAAAAGGAGTAAATGAACTACTGGAGAACCCAGGAATCTGTACCTGCGACTTACCCAGAATGTCTGTATCCTTTAAATATGCATTTACTCCAACGTGTTCTGCAGCATAAGGCAGGGCTCAGCTCAGCACAAGGGAGTTTTTCATTCAAGTTATGTGAGAAAAACGTTTATGAGTACTAACAGGAAAATATATACTAAGGAGCACATAGGGGCAGGTACAGCCCCTCTGCAAAACAGGGCTGCAGAGCCATGTGGTCGTGGCTGTAGTGAAGCAGGAAGGTGGAGGCAAGCTGTGCCAGCTGATGCCTGAGAGCAGGACAGAGGAGGAGAAAAACACAATCTCTGAGCCCTTCCCAAAGCTTCCCCACCGAAATGCCCTATAGAGGAGGGAAATATGCAGAAAAACAGGAAAACAGAGGTGCGCAGGGTGCAGATGCATGGTATTTTGGCAAGCACGGCTGTGCAGGAGGCTAATCACAGATTTAGTAATACGGCTTTGGAAAAACTGCTGTCCCACCCTCTGGAACTGCTCCATAACCAAGAGCCCCAGGCTTTGCATAAAGCTAGCAGTATCAATAATAAATTCCTGATGATCTTGTTTGGCCCTTGAAATGTTTTGGACAAAGTATCGAGAATGAGAGCTCCAGTTTAGAAAGCAGCAAGATGCTCACCGTGTGCCACTGCAAGATCCGTCCTCTGCTCAGAGCCAGCAGGGATGAGCCCCCTGCAGACGCAGGGTGCTCCAGCAGCTCACTGCTTCCTTCCCAGAAATGAACGATGGAGTTTCAGTGGAAATAAGCACCAGAGCCTTGAGTGTCCAGGCGAGCACTGTCATCCAGCTAAGGGCATTCTCACTGCCAGCCATCACTAATAGCTAACTGTACGCTGAGCAAATGCCAACAGGGCCAGACCTACCCAAAAGACAGAAAGACTGGAGCCAGTTTTCCACATCCTCAGGGGACAGTCAAACCCTTGGTCCCCCAGAAATCAGTTCTGAGTGTGAAGGAAGCTTCCCGGTAGCAGTCTTGAGTCTTGCAAGAGCATGTTGACAGCACCTGTGCTGGTGCTGGTGCTGTTCATGAACCAGGGCAAGCAATCCCTCCCTCCATCACCCTTCCTCCTTCTCATTCACTTCCACTTTGAATTCTCTGTGCCATGAATTATCTGTGGTTTGGCTTGAGGACGAGCAGAACAGGCCTTGATTTGGCACAAAAGAAGATAGAGTGACTTTGCTAACTAGCTTGGGAAACTAAATGTCAAATGGAAAAAAAAAAAAAAAAAAGCCAGATGTAGATTTAAGAAGGAAAAAAAAAATCCACAAGTAAATAAATGACTAAGAATCTTGTTGGGGTAGGCAGAGGATGATGTGCATCAGACAAAGCAGAAAGAAAGTTATTATTTAATGAACTTATTCTGATAGCGTCTTTCAGATAATTAAGACTGCAGTCCCAATTGTGATAGGCACTGTATAAAAACACAGCCCCTGGACTATTACAGGGTAAACAGACGAGACAAAGGACAAGGCGAGCGAGTACAATGAGCCCCCAGAAAGATCAAGTTAATTGAGAACAAACAGCATGAGAAGGCTGCACTATTTCTTGGCAGACTAAATTTAATTAGAAAGGCATGAAGTAAAACAAACATCAAGCTTAAACTTAACAGAATTAAATAAAGGGTAGAGAGGAGGAATGCAAATACTCTGCTCTGAAATATCTTGCCTTCATGCAGGTAGTTTTTATCACAGTGAGGAGGATTATTAACTTTATTGCTCCTACTAACATTGCTGAAAATTATCTGTCTTGTGGGGACGGTTCTCAGAGAGGCAACAGGAGCTCCCTGCAGCCCAGAGCCTGAACAGCTCTCCTCCAACACATATTGTAGGGTCTGAGGATGAAAAATAGTATCTCCAGGATTTTTATCTGCCAAAACTTCACCTCACAGTCATTCAGATACCACACTTGATTTCCAAACCATCAAAAGAGCCACATAAAACTTTCCTTTTTTCCCTCCTTATTGTGGAATTTTGCACTCTCCACAACTGGGTACTGTATAATTTCAATTATTTGTTTCAAGAGCATCAAACCGAGATCTGGTTTTGTTAGGCACTCCACTGCTATACTGGATGTCAATCCCCATTCCCAAAACGCTCACAACTGTAAAGGCACAAAGACTGAACAAAATCAAGAAGTGAACTAAAGGACTAAAGGATGGAAAAAGGAGGAGCCGTTTGCACAGCACAGGTGAACCTACACGTCTCAGCCCAGCTGCTAACACCATCTACCACCTACATGGGTAATTCGGATAATGGCAGGTTTCCATAGCCATTACTGCAGACAAGGTGTTTAAATGAGAATATGGTAATGTGAGTGAATTTCTGATTTTGAACTCCCTTTAGTGAAATTTATGGTTTCACAGACAATGCAGTCAGCCCCTTCTCACACCTCATTGCTCTCTGCAGCTACCTGAAAGGAAGCAGTGGGGAGCTGGGGGTCGGCCTCTTCTCACAGGTAACCAGTGATAGGACCAGAGGGAATGGCTTCAAGTTGCACCAGGGGAGGTTCAGGTTGGCAATGAGGAGACATTTCTGCTCAGAAAGAGCAGTCAGGCACTGGGACGGGTTGCCCAGGGAGGTGGTGGAGTCACCATCCCTGGGGGTGTTCAAGGAGAGGTTGGACGTGGTGCTTGGGGACATGGTTTGGTGGTGACATTGGTGGTAGGGGATGGTTGGACCAGGTGATCTTGGAGGGCTTTTCCAACCAAGGCACACAAAATGAAAAAAAAACATAATCAATTTTCCTGCGAGCAGGCCGGGTGACGAGGCCTCCCTCAGGGCTGCTTCCTGCGGGCTCGAACCCACAGGGCTGAGGCGAAGGCGCGCAGGGGGCGGGCAGGCGCAGGCGTGGAGGGTAGGAGGAAGAGGAAGAGGAGGAGGAGGAGGGAAGGGGAAGGGTGACGGGAAGGGGGAGGTGACCCCCGGGGCCCGGCGGGCCGGGCCGCCAGGTAAGGGGTGCCCTGTGGGGCCAGCACCGGGCTGCGGGTACTGGGCGCCGCGCACCGGGCAGCGCCGCTGCCGTTTTCCCCGAAAAGCGGCGTTTTCTCCCCAAAAAGCGCCCTTCTCGGCAGGGTTTTGGCGGATCTCAACGGCAGACGGGGAAGAAAGGCACGGGCAGGCGGCCAGCAGAGCGGGGCCGGCGGCTCTCGGGGCTACAGGGCTGCTGCCCGGCCGTAGGGGCGGCTGGTGCCGGGGGGTGAAGCCTTGGGACGCGGGGTAAATGGGATTTATTTATTATTTATTATGATTTATAACGCGCCCAGGTGGTGCTGCTCCTCCGACAGCCTGCAGTGAGTGTCCTGCAGCTGATCTGTGAAATTATCTTAATAATTGGGACCTTAGAGCAGCCTGACAGCAACCAGAGGGGCCTGCAGGAAAGCTGGGGAGGGATGCTGTCAGGGGGCAAAGCGGTAGGACAAGGGGGAATGGCTTTAAACTAAAAGAGGATAGATTTAGATTAGATATAAGGAGGAATTTCGTTCCTCAGAGGGTGGTGAGGCCCTGGCACAGGCTGCCCAGAGCAGCTGTGGATGCCCCATCCCTGGAGGTGCTCGAGGCCAGGCTGGATGGGGCTTTGGGCGGTTTGTATTGGCTTTGCTGCTGTTGCTAAAATTGTAAGTCTGTTACAGGCTGTGAAATTTCCCCATTTTTACACCAAGTTTGTTCCCAGACCAGTCATTTTAGTTGTTCCTATTCCAAACATTGCTTATACTTACAAATAATGCCTTATGCTTGCTGAGTGTTTGCACCTTTCCACAGATACGTGTGTACAGACATACGTATTTATGTATGCACATGGAAACACATCTACACAGTGATATACACGTGCATATAAATGCGTACAGAATGCAGTTATGTTTCTTCCTAGGCAAAAGAAGTCACGCTCTTCCCAGCTTACTAGGCAAGACTCACTCTTGTTCTTATATCATCTTCAGCCTTCTCAGTCCTTGCTGCATTTTAACCGTGGAATACCAAAACCACAGATCATCCTCCACAGTTTGCTCTTTGCATCTAAAGCATGTATTCTCTATGTAAGAAATCTAAAGTTTTGTTAACTGGAAAAAAATAAGCTCAGCTCATTATAAACAGGATTATGCCACACCAAATTTAATGTTTGTGGAAAGTGGAAAAGGCAATCAATACTTTAAATGCCTGATAAAATGGCATTTTGAAGTTCCAAACCCATACAAAGCACAGCAGCAGAGTCAGGCTGTAGATGTTGGGAAGGCTGAGTGCTTAGGGTAAGTCTGAAGCAACATGACTTGAATAGTACTTTCCAAAGAGGAGTACCAGAAGCAAAAAGGAAGTCCTAGTGTTGCAAGTTTCATGAAAAAAAAAAAAATCTGGACTGAAAATACATTACTTTAAAAGTGTGACAAGCATTTTTATTTGACAAAAACTTCCTTGTAACCATTAGCTAATTTCTCTACACAGACAGGAGCTGCATCAGAGAAGAAAGGAACTAGAAGTTCTGGAGTCTTCAAAGCTTAAACGTTAAAATACTAAATATAACACCAATTCTACACATTCTGTTCCTTTGTCACATTTTCTCTCTGTTTTGAAGCTCCCTTTGTTATTGTAAAATTACTGTTGATTGCTTGTTCTGTGTAACAATGCGATACATCTTTTTCAGAGTGGTTTAATGGATGGGTGTTTAGTGGAGTCAGGTCTAATGACAAGTAGAAGAATCTGACTGATGAAGTTAACTTGTTTTTTCTCCTTCCCTTCTTCCTCAGAATGACCACCTTTTGTGTGATGAAACTTTTACTGTCACGCAACCAGAAATGAGAATGGATATGCAAAAAGATTCTTTGGTACTCTCCTGACACAGACAGCACAAAAGGGAGTCTTTTCTCCATTCTGCATGGTAGTACCTGACCCTAAAAAGACAACAGTGTTCGGACTTGCTCAGCCGTTTTGTACGGCTGAAAAATCTCACAGAGAACCAAAACAGAAAACAGCGTTTGGAAGTGTTGGGCGAAGAATTCCATATCGAATTTTGCACGTCCTCAACCAGGACGGAGAGAGCTTAGGAAATATGCACCGAGCGGATGCACTCAGACTTATGGATCAGCATGGCCTGAAACTCGTTCTGCTTCGTGAGAACGTCGACCCTCCTGTGTACAGGCTAATGACTGGGCAGCAGATTCATGAAGAGCAGCTTAAGCGTGCAGAGAAGAAAAAAGCAAGTTCAAAAGCAGGTACATACATTGTTAACGTTACAACGAGCACTGAAAAATGCTGTTCTAAAAGTGGTTTCAGCAGATTAAATCCTCTTACTTGCATTTGTGTAAATCCAAAGCCATGCCACTGCAGTCCGTGCTATTAAGGATTTGCACTAGTGAAAATAAAATTTTGGATTAGTCTTCTCCAGAGAAGCCTTCTATTGCTTTCTCAGGATTTACTATTTTGGCATCAGCTGATTTTTTGTTTGTTTGTTTTATTTCAATATCTATTATTAATACAACTAGATTCTGGTTTTGTAAGACTCACTGAATTTGTTCTTAATTATTAAGGCATAAATGACAGTTTGTAAAAACTATGTGCACCAGATACACAAATTTAGTTTCATCACCAGTAATCATGAAACTTTCTCTTCCTGGCCTGCTTCTAGGAGGAGAAAGTCTGGAGCCCTTTCTTTTATGGAATAAGAGAACAACTTTTTTAGTATTGAACACTTTGGAAACTTTTGTGTATTAAGTTCATCTGCTCCAGCAGTTTAACAAACTGAGTTTGGGAAAAAAGTTTTAGAAAAGGCATCTGACCTTGTACTGTCTTGACCCTCAGGTTAAGGAAGGTATCTGTGCTTTGGGTATCATTTTAGAGAGCACTGCTGTGGTAGTGAATTTTTCTGTTCCAGAAGCTAAAAAAGATTATTCACGTAGTAACTACGTTGCAGAATCCTTAAGGAGGAAGAGACCAACTTGTTTAAATGTATTACAAGGTCTTGTACTTCCACTTTAATATCGTACTTCACCGTGTAAGAAAATGGGCTTGAGATGAACAGAGATGCCTAGTTTTAAGGCTTTCACACTCAGCTACAACACGAGCAAACTACAGGAATTTGTACACTGCCTTAAAGTCCAGATCCAGTGCTTACCTATTTGTCCGTTAGGCCTGCACTCTGGGTGGTACAAACAAAATTGCAGTTGAAATAAAAATATTGCACATTCTGACCCTGAAGAGACATTCCCATGTGCCCCAAACATGCAGCCACTTTTCGTGTTACAGCAGTGAGTGTGAGGTATCAATTCAGCCACTGCCACAAGACTGGGAACTCTATGAGAAATCAACACGGGGAAGGGAGTTAAGCAAAACACAAAAGATGATTGAAAGAAAGCAATGCAGGTTTGTCATGCTACACCAACACAATCTTAGTTCTGTTTTAAACAGGGCTAGTTCAGAAGGAGTTATCCTTTTCTTCAGCTATTGCTAAGAACGACTTGGAGACCAAGACTAAGCAGATAGCACACTGGATTGAAAAGAAGTACCACGTTAAAGTTACCGTCCGCCAAGCAAAGGACAGCAATACAGACATGGTAAGTGGACAGTTTCATTACACAGGTGTACTGCTGTTCAATTCCCCTCTACAGGACTGCCTTCTTCTTTTAACGTATTGTTCATTGCTAAAGTAAGTGTAGGTCCCATGAAAGCAGTGGTTGCTACATCTGTTGAAACACTGCAGTCCTGTATACACAATTCTAGTACTACGCTTTGTTAAGAATGCCAGTATAATATTGGTCTTCACAGCAGAAGTTAAGCAGTTCCTATTTCTTTTCAGCACTGCCTTAACTGGGCTGGTAAAATTCTCCCATCTATACCTTAAGCCAGCTCACTACTGAGATATTTTGCAGTAAGGTTTTTAATAGATTCTATTTTAGCTGGATTATTTCAATAACTTAACTGCACTTTCAAAGACTCATTTGTGCATCCTGTGGCTAAGTTTAGTTTTCCATTGCTGTGTTCAAAGCTACTGGGATGGCAATCAAGTAGTATAACTGCAGAGCCTTCAGATTTGTCACCTGCACAAATGGCTTTTTTCCAAAGACTTTTTTTTTTTCCTTTTAATGTGTGCAATGAATTGGTAAATTGCTGGAAAAAAAAATTGTGATGTCACTTCACTCAAAAGGAGCAAAACATTTTTGTAGGAAGTTGAATTTACAGGGAAAGGGTATCGTGGAAGAATTGGATAGGGAAGGGAACACTTCATGGCAGTCCACATTTAAGTTTTCCTTAAATTTAAAAACTTAACTATGAGCTGAGAGTTCATCTTAATAAATTAAACTGCTCAAACTAGGGCTAACAAAACAGTCTGAAATGTTTTTCTACCCGTGTTTGTGCATTTTACCCAATTTCTCCCCTTCTTTTCAGTTCATCCTTTTTGATCGGATTTTGGAGACTGTGTCTGACAAAGCCACTTACCTTTCCAAGCCAAAAGCTATTAAAGAAGGAACAGGTACCTGTATTTTGAGACACATGTCTGACAAAGAGTTGCAAGCACACCAGAAGGCGGAAAAGCAGAAAAACAGTGCAGTAAACAAAGATGGAAATGAAGATCAGAAGTCAAGTGGGGTGTCTCAGTGACTTTATGAAGAGGTATAAACAATATTAATTTCTTATTTAAAAATAAAAAATAAAGTGTTTTTTGTTGAGCTTTGCACTGGTCATTCCACGAAGAAAACTGTCTCAATTAGCCTTTACTGCAGAGTCAGAATTTCAACAGTTGGTATTTCATTTTCCACAGGTTTATCCACTGTCTTGCTCTCTGTCACAGCCACACCTTTTCCTGGCTGTGTTTTAGGAGGAATGTATCCGCTCAGACGAGAGGCTAAGCTCCTCTTAGGGCGAGAACGTTTACTCTAGCAGAAATAAATACAGAATTAGCAACTTCACATATGTATGGTGCCAAGACTAATGATGGAGGTAGAAGAAAAAACAATGAAAAGGCTAGCACTACTTCTAAAGGAACTTCCAAAAGATCAAGAATCCCTCTAATTAGATAGCTGGCCTGTTTTCCCACTTGAAATCACATTCTAAAACACTTAATGTTAACCCTCCTCTGTGAGGTGGCAGGATATGGGTGAGAGGATTTCTTTAAGAGTACAACTTACTTTTAATTTCAGCTTTCTCTTTTCAGGATCATGGTCAACCATGTGCCTTGCCAGGCTCTGCTACAGTTGCAAAGGAAAAAGAAAGTTTAGTTTCAGATCATGGAATTCAGATTAGGGAAGTGTAAAGATACATACCTTCATTGCAAACACTTTTCCACAGCCTGGATGATCACAAGAGAATGGCTTTTTTTCCTCATGAAACGAGAGAATATGGCTTTGAAGGTTAAATAAAGTTGTGTAAGTTCTCCCACATCCTTCTCTTGGGCAGCGGCAGACTTCCCTCTCCACAGCATGTGTTTTTTGATGCTGCTTGAGGTAGTCCTTGCGTTTAAAAGTTTTGGAACACTCACTGCAAACTATTGGCTCTGAGGAGGGGTAGAGGGGAAAGACATAGAAGCAGAATATAAGTTAACAGCTTTTTACAGGAGCTTAGAATTAAACCCTAGAATCAAACCTCTACCACTAAGCTAAAACTCACATGAAGTAGGGAACTCAGATCACCACAATATGAGTTATCTAGATCCCAAATCCAACATTATACAATTCCTCATTAACTGGATCACAAAGCAAAGTTAGCATACTGAGCAACACTTCCATCAGTTAAAGGTCTAGCCAGACTAATAACATTCTACCAAGAGAGTGCTAGTAAACAAGTTTGTCTAGGTACAATGACGAGGGGGCAAGTTAAACAAGGACTAATTTTCAGATGAGCATTTTGTTTCCTAATCATTCAAAATTAAGTTTGGTTTACTGAAGCATTTGGAGTTTACCTGTATGACTTTCTTTATTATGTTTCAGAAGCTCAGTCCACGTTTTTCCAATATATGAGCAGTTTTCTTTCTTGCATGCATAGCCTGTTAGAGACAACAGCTGTTTACAATCACAAAGGGTCTAGCAAACAGTCCGCTTTTACAAGGGCAAATTCCACCTCCAATGTTTGAAAATTAGAGGCAAATATTCCTCATTGCCTCCCATACTGCACGGTAGGACAGAAGGCCACAGCCACAAGTTGTTCAGAGAGTCTGTGGAATCCCTGCCCTTGCAGGCATTCGAAACCTGACTGGATGCAGCCCTGAGCAAGCTGGTCTAACCAAGCGTGGATTTGGACCAGATAACTTCCAGAGGTCTTTTCCAATTTAAAGAACTTTATGAAGCTCTACCTTTTATTGTCTTCAGAAAAACTACTTTCTCACCAGCCATACACTTTCATTCAGGTATGTAACTGCAATAACGTATTTCCATATAAATACCTGTATAGCATATTAAAAAACGGAAGAACTTTACCATACAGTAATACTCAAGCCTAAAGAGACCATCGTGTTATCAAACAGACAGGATGGCTTTTAAATGAACCACAGAAAGCTAATACTGTTCTTTGACTGGAAAGGTCAAAGAAATGTAAGCAAATCCCTGCCTTAAGAAAGGAATGAAGTACAAGTCATAGCTTTATGGGATATTCTTCCTAGCCACAGTTTTTTACTAGCACTGGAAAGCAAGTTAGCTGACAGGACTACTAAAAGAATGGGTAGCAGTGTAGCAGAATTAGCTCTAGCACCTGTATGACCACCTCCTGACAATTCCACTTAATACCTTTCACATAAATACATTAATAACTTTAAATATGCAAGCCTGTGTTTTGGCCAAGGTTACCTAAGAAATTTGTGGCAGAATGGGAATTGTTCCTAACCAACAGGATCAGAACAGGCTAGTGGCTTAACCATTAGCCCACACCTTCTGTCCAAGAGATAGGTTATTGATGAGGAAGCATATCAGGAGAAAAATAAATAACTGAAAGGCATCCTGAGCTCAGTTCAGCCTGCCACAAGTACATCACAACTGAACGCTGCAGTGTCCTGCAATTGTATCCCTGCTGACCATTCAGAACAGGTATTCTTACTTTGTCTGGATCACTAGGCCCAGAGTACTATCACATCCGTGCATACCATCCACACCAGAAAAAGTCCTTTTTCTTCTGCTAAAACATAATAGCAGCAAGAAGAAAAACTGGATTACCTTCATGTATCTTCTCGTGCCGTTTTAGTCTACTTGGAGTAGCAAAGCTCTTTCCACATCCTTCATGACTACATCTAGGTACAAAGTATACTGGTTTAATTTCTTGTACTGCATCCACATATTTTTTTTAAGTCAGACACAAAGTGTGCAAAATAACCCAAGTTTCCCCTTGCCCAGAGATTTGTTCCATTTCCCCCCTTGTGAAAATAAATTACATAATGTTTCCCATGTATACAGCAAATTAAGCTTTAGCTAAAGAATCAAGCTTCATATCCTCCATACTCCAGCTCTCCAAACATAGAGATACAAAGTGGAAGGTTTAAGAGATTTGTACAAATCTAGCAGTCAGGGCAGTAGCAGAGCACCAACAGCATATTGTACTGGTGACCCAGCCATACTACTGCACTTAAGTGGAACACTCCTGTGAAGTGTGTCCCACTTGTAAGAAACACAAGATTCTTTTAGCAGATCTGTACCAACGTGTGATGTAAATAATGGAAGTTGCAATGCAGTGTCTCAGACTGGTGTTCAAGGCTCTCACCTTTTTTTAAGCCACTGCTCAGTTCAGCGTTAGCCAAGTTCCTACTTTTCACTGGAAAACAGAGGTAACTGCATTTTTCATTACCGTGCAATATTTTATGTTTGTGTTTCAGACTGTGTGAATTCAAGACTAGTTTGTTTTTCCTGTGAACCTGTAATAAATACTAACATAATACATGGAAAGTTGAAGTTACAGTGCACCATGATGGTCGCTCAAAGCAGACTACTGAGCAAACAACCAACACAAGAAATGTACTGGCAATCACACCTACATTCACTGCAAGTTTTTTCAGGTATTAAATGCCACATCAATGAAAAGGTTGGGAGGAGGCACATGTTTTCATCTGTATCATTTAAATGGATTTCTAAAGTTTATCAGTAAAATTATTCACCTACTTGAAGGGAGGTTCATTGGTGTGGTGACACTGGTGAACTTTAAGTTGCTGATGTTTCTTGAAAGACTTGTTACAGCCTTCAAAGTCGCACTATTTAGGAAATTAAGTTGTCATTAGAGGCCAAACAATGACAGAGCCCAGTCCACCTGTGTTTGCTGAAATCCCAACTGCAGTATTTGGACACATACAAGTTCTGCGTAATAACAAGTTCAAGAATCTCAGTGGACATCCCACGAGGAGCTTGCTTAGGCTTTAGTTTTGCAGCACCACAGGTAGTTACTCACCACATATTGCTTCTGCTGATTTTCATGCTTGCGTTGGATGTGTTTCTTCAGGTTTGATTTTGTCCCGAATTTCTGATTGCATCCATCAGCCGTGCACCTGCAAATAAACTAAATCAAGAGGAAGAACCACCAAAATTCATAGCCCAAACGTGAAAATTTGGCTTAAAGATATGAAAAGCCTGAGGTTGTTACCATTAAAAGCCACTGGCAAACATGGTAAGAGGGAAGGATTTTAGTTAAATATATAGGAATTTCTAAATCTTAGTCCATGGCATGCAGATATTAATTGCTAAATCATATGGGTTGATTGCTTTTCCTTCATTTCCTCTCCCTTCAAAGCAGAGATCTGCCCACTCCCTTACCCCCCCCCCCGCCTCCCTCAGGACCCCCGTACCTCAAAAACCCCCAAATCCCCCCAAAAAACACCCCTGGTCCTTACTCAAAGGGCTTTTCCCCGCTGTGCGTGAGGAGGTGCCGAGCCCGGTGGAACTCCCTGGTGAAGCCCTTCCCGCAGCCTTCATGCCCGCAGACGTACGGCCTCTGCAAGACACCACCGGGGATGGCACCGGGGACGGGGACCGGGACGGGACGGCACCGGGACACCCCCCCAACCCCCCACCACCCCCGGGGACCCGTCAGGGGGCTCCTCACCTCGCCCGTGTGCCGGCAGAGGTGCGCGTCCAGCCGCCAGCCCTTGCTGAAGGCGGCGTCGCAGCCGGGGAAGGAGCAGATGAACGGGCGGGTGCTGCTGGGGGAGGCGGCGGGCGCGCTCCCGATGCTGCTGCTGCCACCGGGCGGGGACGGGCACGAGCACGGGGACGGGGACGCGCCCGCCGCCGCCGCCGCTCCCTCCACAGCCATGCGGGACGGTCACGTGAGCGCGCCGCCGCCGCCGGGCGACGAAATGGCCGCGGCGCCGCGCGCGTGCGCGATCTGTCACTAAGGCGGGCGGGCAGGGGGAGCCATGAGGGGGGCTCACAGAGAGGGGACCTCCCCTCTGCTGCACTCTTCCCACCACCTGCCCTTAATTTAGGTGTTTTCAGCCCAAACGGAGGTGTCTCCGCTGTCCAGGACCTCATGGTGCCTGTGGCTTGTTGCCCCTGTCCCCACGCAGCCCGAGGTCACACCTTCAGGAATCTGTGGGGCTGCACAGAGCTGGGGGGCTCTGAGACCTTGCCAAGCCATTTTCACATTTCCTAACTTGTGCAAAATGAATCGTCTGCTCTGCTATGTATTATTGGAGCCACCAGCTGTGCTTTTCCTCAGGAGGCGCTCCACGTCAGATACACCCCTACCCCCCAAGTGTGAGGGACAAGGGGCAGAGAACCAAGACAGGGTAGTGACAAGGAAACCCACCTGGGGGGAAAAACTCCCAGTCATTGAATCATTCAGGTTGGAAAAGCCCTCCAGGATCACCTGGTCCAACCATCCCCTACCACCAGTGTCACCACTAAGCCATGTCCCCAAGCACCACATCCAACCTCTCCTTGAACACCCCCAGGGACGGTGACTCCACCACCTCCCTGGGCAACCCGTCCCAGTGCCTGACTGCTCTTTCTGAGCAGAAATGTCTCCTCATTGCCAACCTGAACCTCCCCTGGCACAGCTTGAGTCCTATCACTAGTTGAGGGAAGCTGCTGGGCAGAGCAAGCAGTCCCTGCCCAAATCCCCACGGCGCTGAGGGACCTCTCTGAGCCTGGTCACCTGCAGCAGGATTGAGCAGAGGGCTGAATCTATCAGTCAGACCCTCACAAAGCAATGGCAAGAAATGCAGCTTATTTTCACCTTGTTTTTGGAAGGGAAGTCAGTCTGAAAACATCGCAGGTTTTAATAAGTACTAGCCCAAACACTTGGAAGTAAAAGCTGACACTTTTTTTTTTTTTTTTTTGTCTCAGGTTTACAATGAAAAAAAATGAAATCTAAAAAAAGTTGCAAATCTTCCTTTTTGAGACTTTGCCTATTAAAACATGCTATTACTTCAGTCTAACACACACGAAGAAATAGAATGCAAGGAAGAAAATGTCTACTTTGGAAAATGTCACTACTGGATACACAGAAAGCAAATATTCGTCACGTTGTGGGTGGCTTTTTTGTTTGTTTGTTTGCTTTTGTTTGTTTGTTTTTGTTGTTTTCCTACATAATACTTCACAGCATTTTGTGAGCAATACATATACATTAGGCTTTGAAATGCAGTCCTTGGCCAGCTCTTTCTGGGGGGGTTGGTCACCCCAGTTAGAGATTTCAGCAGAGTCCTCTGGGAATTTTCATCCACTTTTGGATATATGTAAAGACAAAGACGCCAGTCCTGAGGGATTTTCACTGTGTTATGTTGTTTATGTTATCTGAGGTGACTACACAGGGAGGATTTTGAAGTGTCCTTCAGAAGAGCTGGAAAGAGCAGTGGGTTCCCACTGAGGTTTGATCTCACATGTCGGAGAGATCTTCTACAGTTCCCAGCTTTGGAGACTTCTAGTAGGTAAAAAAGTGCAGTGGAGAAAAGAACATCTGAAGATGCCAATTTCCAACATGAGGACCACTTTTCCACTGATAAATTTTAATAATCTGCAAGATGAAAAGAGGCAAAACCAACCAAAGAAAGAAAAACAAACAGAATTGAGGTAGTTCTTCCCCTCAAGAAAAAAACATCACACAACTCCCCTTCCCACACACACACACAACCCAGAGGGTAGTAATCCCTCAGACTGATTAAAACTATTCCTCTAAGCCATCGCAATCTAGCCAGAATTAAGCAGCAATCTCAGAAAGACTGCACGTGGGGCTGGGGATATTTATTTTCCTCCAAAGTGAAATGCCTTCAGAGTGAATGCCATTCTGCAATAGTCAAAGTCATACTGACTTTATGTCTGACAAGAGTCACTTCTCTTTATGTTGAACCATTGAAGTCCAAAGATTTTATGTTTCTTTATGAAAATTGCACAGAAATTGTTTCACTGTGTATTAAAACGATAGATATTTTAAATGTGCTTGCAGAGTAGCTCTGGAATTGCAGGAATGATTCCCCCACATGAGGAAAAAAAATATAATTAAAAAAAAAAAAGGTTTTCTGCTTTTCAGGGTAAATGGACAAATGGTATTGAGTAGCTCAGCAAAGCTGGCAGAGCTGGCAGGGAGACTTTCTTCAGGTTGTGGAGAAGTTTCTCAGTTACGCAGCGTGACCTGTCCTGTGCAGGGGACAATGGAAGCAGCATGGAGAAAGAAACTACTGAAACGCTTCTTAAAAAGTGAAACTTTGAACTTGTTCTTAGCAGGAATGTGAAATTAGCATTGTAGCAGATGTGACAGAAACATGTGGTAGTACAATCCATAAGCACTCCAATGGACATGTGATTGCAAAAACAAAGGTGTAGACTTCCCAGATCCACCTACAGGTAACACAATTCATCTTTGTAGGAAGAGAGCTTTGTGAATCCCAACAATATATTAGATTCTCTCTTGCAGAGAAAACAAGGGCTTAGCCAAAAAGGACTTAAAGGACTTTTTTTTTCCACTCTAGGCCATAGATCCCTGAAAACATAGAAGCAACAAAGCTTTTTGGTCGTTCATTTTCCATAATTGAGAAGGGAGTAGACCACTGTCTGATCATTTCCAAGATTGCAAGGAAGCTGTGAAAGGTAAAATTAATGTCTTGCAATCAAATGATTTGACTTTAACAGTGTATGGTATTTGCAGCTAATGGTGCTAGAAGTTCATGGAAAACCAGAAGAAATATTTCCTCCTACATAATTGTTCAGCTCATCTACTACATATTGCAGGACAAGGTGTCACAGATAATTCATTACTTGGCTGCAAAAGCTGTGAAAGAAGTTTTCATTCGTTTTTCCTGATTAGCTACAAGGTTTCAGGACAATTCTCCTTTTTGGCAATAGTGGTAATGCATAGGAATGTTGAGGCACATGCCCTCAGGATGATTTCCAGAGTTTTCAGCTGAATGGATGTCAAAATTACCCAGATGTTGGTGATCCTGGAAGACATTTAGTGTGAATGCCTTGAATGCCTTGTTGGAACTGTTGTGTCCTTCAAGGCTGACAGATGGGGAGGTGATGAAGAGACTTCCGATGCAGCCCTGCTCCTTACATCTTTCCCTCAGTGTGTTCATGAAGTCTGAACACAAAAGCAGATTTTGATTACTCAAAACACAAATGAAAGAAGGCTAAAATGTTAAAAACGATCAAGAGAAAGCCCCAGAAAGCTGGCTGCTATCCCTCTTGGGGTGAACGTGGATGAGAAGAGCCAGGGGTTGTTCACATTGAGCAGCATCAGCCCGGCCACGCTGGAAGTGCCTCCTGCATCCATTATATTGCTTTAATCTTCTCTGTCCTTTTCCCCTGCTCCAGCCTATTTCTTCTTCACAACATCACTTTTATTCTCTCCTCCATCAGAGCCTGGGCTCTTCCTCTCTCCCAAAATTAAAGCTTATCCCACAGCTAAGGGAGAACAGATGCGGTAGGTGTGAATTACGCAACCTGGATGCCAGAGGTAAAGTGCAGCTGGAATAACGTGCCCTTGATCTCCCTGTTTACAGAATTATAGCTGGCTTTTACTGGGGCTGATGTCCTCAGGAGCCCTTTCTGGGGATTTCTGGTCGCCACAAAAACATGCTAGGAAGAGGATGGAGTTAATCAGTTGGGCTTTCGCTGCTATATTCAGCCTAGCAAGCTGACTCCGACAGATGTTTCTGCTTTTAGGCCACAAGGAACTTTATTGACTGTCTTTCCCTGTGCTCAAGAAGCATGTAAAGCTATCAAAGACTTGCTTTCTGTAAGAGCATTGTCTTGTCACTTGATGCTTTTTCTATTTCTGGCCTAGCAGATTTTAATGAATTTCTCAATGGACTGATCCCCCAGCAGAAGAAACAGAGGAAATCCTCATTGCCTGATTTTCTCTCCTGTCTGCAGAGGGCACAGGCTGCAGAGGACAGTGAAGATGCAGGGCAGAGCTGTGTGAAGCAGAGTTCGGAGCCCCCTGTTCCCAGCCAACCTCCCATCGGCTTCCCTTGACAATATTATGTGGTGAGGAGTCGGACCTTGAACAAAATTTCTTGCACAGCCATTAGAAATCAGACAAGACCAGGTTAAACCAAAATGGATCAGATTTTATTCTCTATTGAACCTCTGTGCTCCCCTGATGTGAGCAAAGTTGCTCCAGGACAACTCCAAGAAGGAGCTGCCTGCCCAAAGGACATCTCAGGGGTATTGGTCTTTCCTGGCTCACAGCACGGCTGATTTTCAGAAGAGACACAATGCCCCGAATCACTCCTGTCCTCAAGATGCTACCTTTTTTTAATCAGTCACAATTATTTGTGCTCACAACGCAGGCCTCTCGAGGCATCAGGTTGCATGGGTCAATAAGGAAGGCAGTTATCTGCCCAAAAATTGCAGGTGCAAAATTATGCCTGCAGCTACCTGCAGCCATAAAAACCAGGCATCCTCCGAAGGCTGGTTACAACAGAAGTTGCCACACAGCAGCGGTGGGAGTCCTTCCTCCCCTGGCCGAGCCCTCGGGGCATTTCCCCGGCACGTAGTCTGTTTACTTGGAAGAAGAAGAAACTCAATTTCCCCCATCCTCTACGGGACGGCTATTTTAGTGGACCATAACGTTATTGTAATAATTGCTGCTTCACCAGACAGAATTAGTAGTCTGCCGGGAACGTGTCACGCATCAACGCTCGTCTCAAATGCCTGTTAATTATCTAAATAAGCAAATTTGCTTCCTTTCCCACCATGGTCACTAGTTCCGTGTATCGTTCGTGCAGCGGAGGCTGTGATCTTGCAAAGAGCCCTGCCAGCAGCTGTCATTACCAGGGCTGTCTCATCGAAGCTGCCGATGTGAGGAAGGACTCATTCCCCAGGGCCTGACTGAAATCCTTTTGAAATCAGTAGA